ATCATAGAACTCTGGTCAGTCAAAATGACTATTTTGAACTGTAGGCATTAATCAGCCATTCTGCCAATGACAGATAGATAGAATCTAGGTCAGGGGAAGCCCCAAGACCCCAAGATTCTCTTCCCTTACGTCACAAACCACGTGACTGAGCCAATATGGCAGCGCCATTAGGGCTGGATACTCACTCTGGTTCTTTCTCTCTCCGCATCGAGGACTTAGACCAACGCTATGGGAAGAGTGGGGGGACTGACTATGCGCAGGGACCTTCGTGGTCGTTCAGGCTGGGTCAGCAACCAAAGTCTGACCCGCTACTATGGGGCCCAACCTGAAGAGACCCTGCTCAATAGATTGGGTGTCTCTTAGGTAGTAGTTGATAAAGATGTTCTCCAGAAACCTGTCCTCAGAATGTGTTTGAGGGGGACGCCTGACGCTAGCGCTAGTGAGTTAGCAATCGCACAAACCTCATGCGCTAGTACTTGGTGGCTCTGCAGACTCTGTGTTGAGGAGGATAACGTATTATAGATCTCCAATACAGTCGCAGTGATCCACCTGCCAATGGAAGTCGGGGAGGCCGGCTTATCCTGTCTGCCAGGGCCGTAACACAAAAACATTAGTTTGGTTCCCAGTCTCAAAAACCTGGTACAATTCTTGTAACAACTCAACGCTCGAACCAGGCAGAGAAGCAATTCCTCCTGATCCTCCCAACCGACAATATTTGACAGCAGTGTCCTGGGATTTGGTCCTTGGCGAGGAATCAGATTCGTGTCTTTAGCACAACCTGATCGTCCATAAAGGCGCCGCACCCGTCTGCGAAGGACAGTGCGCCTAGTTCTGACCGGCGCCTACCCGAGGCGAGGGCCAGTAGGAAGACTGTTTTCCACGTCAAAAACTTGAGTGGTGCTGATCGAAGGGGCTCAAAAGGGGGTCTGCATAGAGCTGATAACACAATACTGATTGTCAGCCAGCCGCCTGTAGATTTTGGTACTACGAAAACATTTGAGTAGAACCCAGACTTAGCGTCGGCTGAACTACCCTGTGTATGGCGCCCTTTTTGAGCAAACCGTCTACTCCCTGTCTGATTGCTTTCACCTTGTGGGGATCCCCTGGCAGGGGAGGTGGAGATGTCAGTGGTATTCTGTAGCCGCGAGTCACCACCTGGAACATCCAGGGATCGGCTACCCACTGCCTCCAAGCCGACAAACACCGGCGCAATCTGTGTGCAACAGGGATGTGTGGCCATGGGTTCGGTGGTTGCGAGGGGGGGATTCTCTTCTCCCATGAGGTGAGCTTTCCCGGGGTCTCGGTCCCTTCTGTCTTTGGGGCGTGCCGTTACTCTTCCCTCCCGTGGAAGGGTATGAGCGCTTGCCTCCTGGCTGACTCTGGCTAGCGGGCTTAGTCTTAGGGAGTTGCGATTTCTGTGCTTGGGGTGCCCTCCGTTTGCCCTTGGCTGCGGCCAACTGGCTAGCAGATTCGACTTAAACCATCTGGCTCGTTACACCCCGAAGCTCCGATACTGCACACGCCATCTCCCAATCTAGGAGGGTGGATGATGTCCAGTCTGAGTAACTGAGGCGGTGGCGTACCCCCTGACTCAATTCAATGGAGAAAACACACGTGTCCAAAACCGCCTCTCGCTGCACCGTAGTAGCCCTGGCCAAGAAAGCCATATGACACTGGAGGATATCGAACATAGCTATCCAGTGAGGAGCCCAAAAATTCTAGGAAATTGATGGGTCGCAACTCTGCCCTCAGGGCATGTTGGGGGCTAATCTGCACTGGCTCGGAAGGTTGTAAATGATTAGCTAGTTTGAATTTGCATAACAATACTGACAATGAACGTGCATTCAACGCCACAAGTTTTTTTGTTTTTTTAGCCAATCAGAATTCATCTTCCGAGCCAGTGCAGATCAGCCGCATGTTGGATCGTCTCAGACTGAGCTGGTGAGAACGCCCAGGGAACACGACCGCCTCCTTCACCCGGTGAAAACTTATCCTACCAGCTAGAATGTTGGTGCCGCGGTAACAACAGGACCCAAACTTGAAACCCGGCCAGGAAAAAGCAAACGAGCCAGGCAGAGCCACTTGAACTTCATCCCCATTGATGCGGAGAAGAAGCAGAGTGAGTATCCAGCCCTAATGGCGCCGCCGAATGTGCTCGGTCACGTGGTTCGTGATGTAAGGGAAGAGAATCTTGGGGTCATGGGGCTTCTGATTAATGCCTACAGTTCAAAATAGTCATTTTGACTGACCAGAGTCTATGGTGGGTAATTGAACGTATTGAATATAGTGATATTAAAAAGGCTCTTGAGACAAATATACCGGTAGTTAAAATTTATTTCCCACATTGGCTGGAACACTCGTCTGAGCCACATTTTTCATTTAGCAAGGTATAAACAAGATGTGGTTACAGAATTACAGTTTACTATGTATATAAGAAGTACATGTTATGATATATCATTACTTACTTTCCACCAGTTATAAATGTTTCATCGCACATGTTGGCATAAGTGACACACATAGTAGTTCCATCACTTGGTACTGCAGCTGGACTACCACAAATAGCTTCCTTCTTAGCAATATTCCACACAACAACACTGCCATCATCTTGTCCTCCTACTGTTACCAAGTATTTGTCTTTGGGAGAAAATGCAAGGGATTCCACTTTAACTTTGTGTAGTGTCAGTCTGGCATACAATTCTCGTTTCTCAAAGTCCCAGATAATTACGTCAGCCTGTTTCAAAAAATCAAATTTAGATGAAAACTTGAATTATTGACCTGAGATTAGTGTAAACAAGTGATGTATAACTGAAGTGGCATTAAATATGCAATATGGACAAATATACGTATTTTTTAATTGAATTTCATTGTACTGTTGAATAAATACTGTGTGCTAAAAAAGAATAGCAGCAGTATTAAAAATTACTGGTACACGTTTTCATCCATATTGCATCTTTAACAAGTAAAATTCCACTATGTGCCTGTTCCAGTCACCAGAAGATTGCTAATTGAATGAAATTAAGCTGAAAATTTGTGAATTTGATAAAAAAAAAAGCAAATCTATTTTATTTATTTATTGGTTACACTAAATGAGTAAATGTATAAAGCCTAAAATTGCTACTATATTATCACAAACCATCTAACCATAATTGTGCTTGGTTTACAAACTTTCCAGATGCTCATAATTGTTTTATGTTTTGAGTATATGTGAGCAAGAACCAGTTGTTTGCATCCAAAGATAAAATAATGCACTGTTCACTACTATTATTATTGGAGCGACAATAGCTGTGATTATGAAAATGTTTTTGTTTAAATATACATGTAACAACATCCTACCAAAACATTGTTTTAGACACAACTGCATGGGCAAAGTGACCATACACAAGGCTAATGTCACATGAAATGCAGTGTGAAAATTGAGGGTCGAGTAGTCCCCATTTCGTTGAAATCAATGATTTGGGCCGTAAAAAATGTTGATGCATGACGTACATTTATGTATACCTGTTAATAAATCAACTTATGGAAAATATTGTCATAGCAAATCGTGAGCTAGTACTGAACAGTAAATGACATTTTTTATCAAACAGGTCCTGAACAATCACATGTTGGTTAGCAAAGATGTAAACAAATGATGTTACATTATGATGGCTTATATTGTTTGGGATGCACTGTGCTATTTATACCTTTACAATTTCGGATTTCACATTTGAAAAAAAAGATAGCTGTAGTTCATTGAAGGGTAGCTCTTACCTTGAAGCCCATGTGTGTGACTTGACCAGATGCAAGATAATTACCACTTTTTGAGACAGTCAAGCATGAAACATCATTTGTGTGACCAGAAAGAAAACACTGTTGATGACTGGTTATGTCTTCTACAATGACTGTATTACCAAGTGCGTAAACCACATGCTGACGGTTTGGATGTACTTTCAAACCTCCAGGTATATTGCCTATGAGAAAATGATATTAAAAATTTGTCTCATACAAGGTTGGTTTGATACTGGTGAAATTTAGACTTTCATTCTTCTCTAAAAAATCTATAGCATTAACAAACATCAGATTCCGCTTAAGATAATATTAAACTAAATAACACCCCAAAATGAAAGTATTAACAAATATTACTCATGTAAGTAACACACATACACTATGTACGTATGAACTTCACAAGTAACATGTATACTATAGAATACTTTATTTTCGCTTGGAATTAATTTTTGCTATTTTCGCTGAAGGAATGATTCAGTAAAAATAAAATCCAGCGAATATACATTTTTTCCTATGTTTTACATTCAACTTGTCAAAAATCAGTGAAAATAAATTCCATACAAAACGCTTAAAAGTGTTTTCAGCAAAAATTAATTCCAGCTAAAATAAAGTATTCTACTAAAGTAATTCATAAGTCACTCTTCAAAATATACCTTTGCATGAAATGGGATGTTAGAGATTTCTCTACTGTAATTATTTTGAATTCATAAAAATTTGGGTCATACATTGAAAAAGATGACCATGCTCTTCTGGATTTTCATATATATACTTCAACGCAATTTCAAAGATAAACATATACATAGTATATGGATCAATCTTAGGGCGTGACTGCATGGTTTTGCCTGATGTTATAGTCACACCATGTTATTCAGTGCTATTCACGTCCAGTGTGATAAGCAACATCAGTAATATCAATATAGTTTTAAATTGGAATTGTTATTCAATGGAGATAAGAACAGCGAAACGGGCGGTAAACACACTTATGACGAGATACTAATGTAATTAGTTCATTTGTGTGTACTGGTACTCACGGCTCAATGTAAGCGAATAAAACGCAAGCTGTATTTATTTACAGTTGACCAGAAAACAGTTACAGAACTGAACCATCGTAGATTTACATATGTACTATAGTTATTATTTTAAGTGTGTGAAGAACCAGTCCGAACTACAGTTCTCGGTGATGTGAATAAGTAACGCCGTTGGAATATAGTAGTGACCTGTAAATGTGTCACCAAGATGCAAGACAAGTCCAAACAACATGATATATCCCAACACTTAGGTAAAATATGCAACTATTTTCTAGCAATTTTCAAACTAAACAAGCATATTTTCGAGGCTATCACGGCAATGAACCCTTCACTACATTGGGTATTAAACAAATGTTAACTGCTATTCTCAAAACACGAGTTCTCGATTCTTCTCAATGTGTAAATCATAACGTTTGCAGTGTTTTGAAAATGGCACCCGTCACAACGCAACCGAAGCCTAACAGAATACTTACCGTTGAAACCAATAGTGCGAATCAAATCCAGCTTATTTATATCCTCAGTGCCGTTTTCAGCCATGTTGCTCGATTTGGCTAGATATTGTCAATGAAACTGGTAAAATTTCACGGATTTAGGATGAACGCAGGAGCAGACAACAAATTGCCACCGTGGTCCAGCTCAGTTGCTAAGGGAAACACGCTGTTTGCGCAAGCGCAGGTTGTCGTTGTAAGAACGTTGCCAGGGCTTGACTCATGGGGGCGCCAGTAAGTCGAAAATATTTCAAAATACACGTACATGTACAGGCGTATTTCCCTTTTTCGTAAACTCTGAGTACTACAGTGAATTTCATGGAGGCATAGGTGTTGTTTTTATGTGAATTCATACAAATATTTACTCTTTATCATTCAAATAAAAAAAAACACGCTTTAATTGGCTGTTGAAGCCATTGGTCATGCCCATTACCCATGGGTCTTTTCAGGTTCAAATTGTTTTCAACAATCATTTGAAATTTATTTAAAAATATTTATGCTTTTATGAAAATCACAATATCCAAACAAATATACAAAATATAATTACGAGGCGAACACCGTTTTAAAGAAGACACGCAGTACAACGTCACTAATAGAGACTGCAATTACGGCAGCGGTGGTGGTTGAGTGCAATGGGTAGAGGCTTTTTATACTCCGTGAATTATTCATTATATTATAACTTCATTATACAATGGCGAGTTTCCATTATATCATGGCGTAACTTCATTATACAATACAAAACATTAAATCGAGAGACAAAACTTTACATTCGCGGGAGAGACTAGCTTCATTCGCAGGACAATACTTTAAAGGGCTGTAGTCGTCATGCAACGCATGCGCGAGATATATGGGTCCCATATAAACAAATATGGCGACTTTGACTGTTGCGCAGATCAATGAGTACAAAGACGTTATCAAGTTTTAGTTAGGTATTTTTAGGTGATTGGAATGCATCGAAGGATTCACCGGCGGTAATTAGTGCAAGTTGCGCCCAGTGTCAAACCTCATACTTGCGATTTGCACTAGAAGAGTACATTGGATTGTGGGTAAATCAATGTTTATTTTCCATGGCGTATGTTCTGATTAGCATATCAACGTATTTGAACTCTGAAATCGTAATTGCCCTAGAAGATGGGGGCGCTGTTCAATCTAACGTGGACGAAAGTAACAAGACATAGAAAGAAGAGCAACGAATAGTCAAACACAAGTCACCTACCACGACCTTTGACCTGTAGAATTGTGTACGATTCAATGATTCAAAAATACTAAAAAAATGAAAAATATTGAGACGTGTCAATATCTGAACTACGAATCTCGCATTCATATTTAAACTTTATTAAAAACCACATCGCTTGGTGAAAACGTAATAACAACACATATTTCACAAATTATTTTTTGAAAAATTACATGAATGAGACAGAAACAAATGATAAGGAAAGATACTCAACCAGAAAGAACACGACATAGGAATAGGAACAGAAACTGAACTAATTCCATTATTAAATACCTTAGAAATAAGAACAGTAAATTAACCAATTCTAACTGCACCTACAAACACTGCCAATTTGAATTCAGGCACTAAACAATGAATTGCTTTCTATTGTAGCAAAAATGTATAAATAATAATTCATACTCTCTGAAAGCTAATTGACAAACTTAGGGCGATAGACTGTGGGAAAGGCCTGCATTGAACCCAAAACAGCGCCACCGCGTGAGCGTATTGTTCAATTGCAGACTGTTGGAAGAGGATTGGGTCGCTGCATCGAAGCAGGTTTTCTTTCAACTTACCCAAACGGGCGAAACTATTGACTGCATGTGTAAGTATAGAACACTACATATATTATTGCATTTATACTTGTCACTCATTGTAAGTATAGAACACTACATATATTATTGCATTTATACCTGTCACTCATTGTAAGTATAGAACACTACATATATTATTGCATTTATACCTGTCACTCATTGTAAGTATAGAACACTACATATATTATTGCATTTATACTTGTCACTCATTGTAAGTATAGAACACTACATATATTATTGCATTTATACTTGTCACTCATTGTAAGTATAGAACACTACATATATTATTGCATTTATACCTGTCACTCATTGTAAGTATAGAACACTACATATATTATTGCATTTATACCTGTCACTCATTGTAAGTATAGAACACTACATATATTATTGCATTTATACCTGTCACTCATTGCAAGTATAGAACACTACATATATTATTGCATTTATACCTGTCACTCATTGTAAGTATAGAACACTACATATATTATTGCATTTATACCTGTCACTCATTGTAAGTATAGAACACTACATATATTATTGCATTTATACCTGTCACTCATTGTAAGTATAGAACACTACATATATTATTGCATTTATACCTGTCACTCATTGCAACATACAGTCCGTTCATGATAACACTGGCTTACCGTCCTACAACATATCAACAATCTACCAAAACCTATGTAGGGAAAAGTTGCAAACAGAATCAAGGCATTTCATATAATTTGCCATAAAGCCAATGTTTCTTCAAGTCAGAGATTATGCAATTGCCATTTAACTTCTGCAATCTTGTGAATGAAATTACAGGTACCAGTTTATGCTAATATCTGTTCATTCATTTGCGATAAAGTGCATGCACTTGTATGCTTGACGAATACATATTTTACCATGGCAGTTATGGAAAACCAAATCTCAGTTCTCTTCTCAAGACATTCTCGTGTGGAGCAAATTTTCACTGTATTTCGCATCTAATTACGTTATCTTATTATGTACTTTACGTTAAAATATAGTATAACAATTTAATTTTTTTTTAAAGTCGTATCTTTGAATTGTCATTGTTCAAGCCACTAATTACGTGGAGAATATTAGAATTTGATGATTTTGTGCATTTTCTGAAATTATTATTGAAAATTCCAAAAATTGGAAAATCTGCTACACAAGAATATGAATTGTAAAAGACACAGTTGTTTCTGCCATTAGAATAGCTGTTTCGAAATTCCCCTCAATACAAGAATATGCTTATGTTGTGGTGTCCCTCATTTCCGTGTCTGTAATCGGGCCCATGCCTGTTGACCGGTAATGTCAGTATGATCGGGTAATATGCATCTCCAATTCGATAATATGTTTATTCCATACTGGCCAAAATGTACAATTAATAGTAGTTTCATTAACACACACGAGAGCACGCTATATATTAGCCTGACATGTAGGCGTGAGTGGCGCCCTCGCCGGCCGAACGGAGGGCGCATCTCACGCAACCATGTCAAAGAGAACACGCTTCTAGGCGTTTGTTAATTAGTTTGTCCTGTATATAGCTAGATTGAATATAATGGTATCTTTGGAACAACTCATGAGCTCGACAAATTTACCAGGATAACAATGAGTACTATAATATAACGGGATATACCGGTGGGACCAATGAGACCAAAATGTATTCGTCCTCAATGAAGTTATTTAGTAAACCCATATACCTTAGAAAACAGGGACATGCTACTGTAGGTATCCCTTTCATGTAACCTTAGTTATAATCCTCTACCCAATTAACACCTTAGTGAAACTGACAATAAAGCTATGTCAACACCACTGTTACATCCTCTCCTGTTACATAAGCCAAATATGGCTGCCAGGGAGTAGCTACACAAAATGAGCCAACTTTGTGGTTAGAATATAATCGGAAAAATTACATTTGATTAAAACTGAATAGCCAAGCCCATTCTATTGACTCGAGTGAAACTAAATATTGCAAAGTTAACAGTTTTTATTCCACTATGAAAACAGAAAAGGGGAATAAAAATGGTCAGTTTTCTCTACAAGAAAACAAAACTGCTTAAACGTAAACAATGACCTGTCAAAATTTGTGTCATTATAACAAGTGGATTTTTCATCATATTTAGAACAGGTATAGCATAGTGCACTCGTTATATACTGACAAATGTGAATATTGGCACAGCATAACTTATCAAACATATAAAAAAGCGTAGAAAGGTAAGAACTAAAACTGTTTCAGATGTATAGGTATATGTATTAATGGGATTATCTATACATGGGATTATAACCCACATTGCACACAGGAAACTGGATTTTCTTTTGTCTTAGACAGAAGTTGCATGTCCCTGTTTTCTAGGGTCTATGGTAAACCGGGCAACGTCTTTCAGTGCTACAACTTAAAATTGTTTCCCGTTTCGGTTTTAAAATTATGAGAGGAGACTCAAAGTCTGGTCAGAGCAATTCTATATAACAAATTATCTACACGACTTAGATATTTTTCTGGCTAAAAAAATAGTTCATTTTTTATAATGGTAAAGTTTCTAGCACTTGGTGATTTGTTCTTGTCACCACTGGAAATCTATGTCGCACGAGTTTTGTTTAAATAATTTGAGGAATGTCGATTCGCGGCCAACTCTTTGATTTATCCGGGCGTCACCAAAACCATAACAAATAACATTAATTTCAAATTACGAGCCCAAAATGGTTTATTATTGTATGCATGGTGAAGTTGAAATTTGTAGCACACTAGAACGTATCGATCGTTACTCATTTTGAGAATACGTAAACAATATTTGGGAATTTTCTCAAGCCTACGTGACACGGTTGACATAGCTCATTCCTTGCAGCAAGGTTTACATTGCGGTCGAGATTTATACAGAGTTTAGAAAACTCAGCAATGATGGATTACACTCATGCCTGGTAATGGAATACACATTGAAGAGATACAAATAGTCCACTATTATTCTTAATATACAGTAGATCCGATCCACGACTTGTATAATACTGTTTGTTTGTTCATAAAGTAATGACAGTTCAGATCATATTGCGAGTCCGCAGCGAACTAGGTTGACTAGTGGGTGAATTGCGAACTCTCTGTCTATGTCATCAAGTCAGTGTTGTAGATTTCCCCGAGGCTCAGTATCGAACGGTGTCCCTCGTAAACTTAAGCTTTTGCCATTGTTCAAACTCATTGATAAATGCCATAAGGTTAACGCCTAATTTTCAATAATACTCTGTTTTTACATCCACTTAGAAATGAACTGTTTTTTCTCAAACATTTTGTTAATGCTGACGTCACCAAAATAAGGTGATTTGACGTACCAGGAAAATAGTGGTTTCCTTCTTAGGAAAATGCAGTCGGGGAGATTTTTTAATCTCAGTGCTTACGAGTTCATTCATGTGTCGTGGAAAGAATGCATTCAAACATATTTTGAAAAATGAATCTGCAGACCATAACATTGATCTATGTAATGTCTCTGTTTTAAGGTGGAAAATGTGAATGTTTACAAATATAAGATTTCTTTACTCCATTCTGATGAAAGCTTTGCCGTGTTTAAGTGAGTTTAAGCGTTGAGTGGAAACCCCGGAAAACACTAAACCTGTCAAAAAACACTAAACCTGTCAAAACACTAACCTGTCGAAAAACACTAACCTGACAATA